TGCCATTGACGTTGTTAACGATTTCCAAATAGTGTGGCAGTAGTTGACACCCCTTGCCCGCTCTCTCTCCCTCTCCCTCTCTCCATCCAGCCCGTACACCCCCGTACAGGTAAGCCCGTAACCTCCCCCTTCCGCCCCTACTGTGTCGTCATTAGCAACGAAGTTGGCGGCAAAAAAAAAAATAATACAAACGCTTGTTTGTTTTTCGACTTTCGACTCTTTCGACCCTGTCCCCCTCTCTCTCTCTCTCTCTCTCTCTCTCACTTCCGCTCTATCAGTGGAAGAGAACTTCTGCACATTCTGATAAGCGGACACAGTCCAAGTAAAAGCGTGGCAGGCAGAGGTGGGGCAGGGGCAGGGCACACACATTAAGTTATCGCAATTGTAGTTTTTTTTTCAGCTAATGCCACGGCGCTGACCACATGGCTCATTACCAACAAATTGGGGTGCTGGAAGAGGGCATAGATAACCGCCCTTTCGGGGCATTCCACTCGCCCACAGTGGAACCTGCGGTGGTAAGGTCAGTTTTTTCCCCAATACATATTCTGCGGCAATATATTCGGCTAGGATTGGATGGTCTCTACAGAAAAGAAGGAGCACTTTTTCTTTCACTTTGTAAAAAAGTTCCAGGGAATATATAGGTAGGATCTACTTCCAATCTGTTCCGTTCCAACGAATGAACCTTGTTTTTGCGGGTCAAGCCACAACCAGAGGTTCATCCATCCATTATTGTTTTCTTTCGTTTTTTTTGTTGTTGTCATATTCCAGCGCGTGTGTGACACTTGATTGGATTTGTTCGCATATACTACATATATAAATATATATTTATTTTTGACTTCCAATTCGATATATTCGGATATATGCAAGACTCTGGCATGCGTGTGTATCAGCAGCAGATACAGATACAGATACAGATACAGATACAGATACAGATACACGTACGTACAGATACATGTGTGTATCTGCTATATCATTATAGATATAATTTCCACGTATCGATGATATATGCACTACACGTTTGCCGTGCCTGTTGCTGTTGCTGTTGCTGTTGTTATGGACTAAATGCGTCAATTAAATAAAATATAATAATAATAAATATCTATGTAGGTGCAGAGATACATTCTATGGATAGATACCAAGATACACGCAGCGATACAGATACAAACACAGATGCATCTCTCTCCCTCTCTCTTCCTCTCTCTCTCTATCTGTGACAGTTCTATAGGAATTATAAATAAATTATGATTTTCAATGACACTATAAATCGCAGAGTATATATTTATTGCAAATCGACGCCACGCTAAAAGATTTAAGTCCGATCCAAAAAAAAAAAAAGCAATTCCATGTCTTCCCCTAATCCTCTCAAGCCCATAAAACCCATAAACTATCCATATGCGATCTGTTCGCATAAGATCTATATAATTTTGTGCATATATATATTTTTGTTTTGCGTATAAATTATTCGCAATTTTTGTTTTCAAATTTTTACGAGCTTCTTTAATGACAATTTCGCTGAATTTGGACTGAGAAAGACCGATACGTACGCGTATGTGGGGTACGAGGGGCATGCCCCAAGCCCTCCTAGGCTCTCCTACGGACAGCTGTCTGGCTTGTTACGTGCCTCATTAAGTATTTTCGGTTTTTAATTGACAAAACAACCAGGAGACAAAATCAAATTTAATTTCATTTATTATAAATCTCAAATAATTTTCGAATTTTCATTAAATTTTGATTTTTGCAACAGAAGTATGCCAGGGTCGAGAGCTCGTGAGAGACTTGTTCATTGAAGAATTTTCATACGAAATCTAGAGGGGGAAGTGCTCTGGTATCTATGTATCTTTGGAATCGATTGAGGCCAGAAAAATATTCAGAAGAGCGGAAGATGCCAAAAAATTTGAACTAACTTGTGGCCTTCATGGACTTCAAACTATTAGATCTATCGTTATTAAGTAGCAATAAATCTTTTTTAAATTTCAGCATAATCTTGGGCATCACAGTCGAAATTGAAGTCAACAATTGGATTAGATCATGGGTCAAGTGCCGAGGTTCTGTGACCTTCATGGGGCCGAAACTTCTCTCTTCGATCGCGTTCACATTTGTCAATTTCATTTAATTTATGATGTGTGTGTGTGTGTTTTTTTTCCCCCTCATCTATACATTTGTACATACTCGTTTGTAGTATATGCAACCTTTTCTCTGTTGCGTATTCCCATTTCATTCGCTTCGACTTGTTCAAATAATTTTGTTGTCATCTCGCATATTTATTAGCACCAGGCCGCCAAATGGGCCTCAGAGCATCGGAGGCCTGAGAGCGTTCGTCGTTATTTATTTGCGCATACAATAAATTTCTTAAACAAAAAAAATACACACAAAATACCAGAAAAGAGCCGGAGATAATTCGACAAATGAAGACGCGTGCAAAGGCAATTGAAGAACGTGTGTGGAGAGTGCTCCTCCCTCCCTATTGGTATTGGGGAACCATCGATCTTTGATCGATCTAGCTGTTACAGTGTATATCAGACTATGTACACTTTTTGGGCATGGAGTCCTTAATTACAATTGTAAATATACCATTTTTCGCTTGCTCTAACTCCTACAGTCTCTGAGATCCAGGAGTTAGGATGGATTCTGGATCAGAAATATGTACATGCTCTCTATGGGTTTGGCAAGGATGCAACAGTTTTTGGCCTGCTCCGCACACGGCGGCGTCTGCCGTCAATCCAGCCGCACATCTCACGTCCTGGCGAGAGCGTCGAGCGGGTTAAACGGGTTCAAAACTAACCGCAGGCGTTTCCCTCCCCATCTCCCTGGCCAAGCACGGCTGTGTGTGTGTGTGTGTGTGTGTGTGTGTGGGTGCCCTTCTGGTTTTTACCTACATTCGGGGATTGTGGCGTTACTTAATGGCCAACACTCTTTGTTCTGCTCCATTCATGGCCCTTCTTTTTGTGGCTGGCTTTTCAAAGGCGCGTAACGTAACGGTATCACGGTGCAGTCCAGCTCGCGGTAAACGTTCCGGTCCGCGGATAGCGGTAAACGTTTAACAGTTAACAGTTAACGATAAGCGGTCAGCGGAATAACGAACTAAAAGCACGCCAAAAAAACAAAAAAAAATAAACAGTAACCGGACGACGAGGATGAAGGATGATAACACCGCCGATTCAATGTTTACCGTTAGGCTGCCGTGCCGTTCCGTGCGCCGCGTGCTTCGCCTCGAAGTGTTCCGGTGCTTTGGGTTCCGTTATCCGGCGCCACAGTTCGTCCTTTGGCCCCAAATGTTGTATGAGCTTCGGATGGCTTCGGGTTCGGGTTCGGCTTCGACTTCGGCTATGATTGAACTCAAAGAGGACTTTTACGTTCCATTCTCTTCCAACTCTCTCACTCAAAAATCCACTCAACCACTTCACTCAGTTTTTGAGCGAATGCGCCATGGAGCTGTACACCTCTTACATTTTCAAACGTGGATTAGCTTTTAAAGGCTGTTTAGCATATTTTCAAAAATAGTTCCCCTTTTTTTTAGCTCTAAATGTAAGTTTTAAAAAACTCAATTGCGCCACAGTTTGCATACAAAAACGTCAAGTCTAATCTAAAGCATAAGATTTATTTATTAAATTAATAACTTTCGAATTAATTTTCATCCTGTTTGAAATTTTACAGAAATGAGTTGCGAAGACAGGGAAATGTTGCCACAACTACGAATTGCGTTTATAATATTTGAATTTAATTTATAAAAAAAATAATAATAATAAAAATAGTGAAGAGGAGGTTTATTTAGTTTCATGGGTTTTAGCCATTTTTAGCATATTTTTTTTTTTCCAAGTCTAGCTAATATTGACTCTGGAAACATGGCAGCACTGATGTACTCTGCCGTGGAACAGCGGTGGTCTTGAGCTGAGTGCCCTGTGTATACGCATCTGGATTTTCTGTCCACTGTAAGCAGACGCACAAGGCACTTTTGCTCAAACAGCAGCAGCAGCATATTCCCTCAATTTTGATATTCCGTTGAATATTATTAGCCAGATAGAGCCCTCAGCCCTGCCCACATAATTTTATCCGATTAATGAATACATTTTCTAAGAGATTAACTACTTTCAAGTACTCCCATTTATTGGGAGTATGGAGTATGGAGTGTCACGTAAATTCTTACTTGTTGCTTGTCCACCGAAGTATGGGCATTTGTATACCCTGTTTCGTTAATTATACATGAAGATGCTGTTTCAGCAGATATCGATGACATCGATGATTTTCTCAATTCTAGAATTCCAGGGTATTCAAAATGTTGCTCAATCCGCGCCGTGTTGAGAAACAGTGTTGATCGATTTCTCGTTACATGAGTCTGGCCCATACATATTTAATGTTGCAAGGAATACCAAGCTTTTTTAAAAACGTAATTAATAAAGAAATATTCTCAGATAGATATGTTTTAGAAATATGCATGATTTGATTAGTGTCTTGTATATGTACATATATATCCCGATTCCGATACCTATTCTCGGTCTCTGTAAGAAGACAATAAACTCCAAAATATCGTTGTGAGAGTGACTAGATTCTCCATATATTGGCACCTTTGATGGCAAACATTTTCTCAATTCTATAATATCCACTTCCCCAGGGTATGCAAAATGTTGCTCCATCCGCTTGATTTCTCGGAACATGAGTCTGGCCCATACAAGTTGAATGTTGCCAGCAACATAATTCTTAAGAGAACGTTTTGGAGTATTGAATGTAGGGACATTGTTAAGCTGAAAAAGGAATTTTTCGCGAGGAAAAATCCATCCACATATCACATCACGCAATAGAGAAAAATCCCAGCAAAAGAGAGCAAGAGGGACCAAACGGCCCAACCATTATGCGTTCCAACTCTCTTACTCAAAAATCCACTCAACCAATTTACTCAGTTTTTCCGCTCGAATGTAACAAAATACGCTATATGTTAACTGAATTGGAAAATGTTAAACTGTTAAACTCCTGTTGAATGAATGATTAAAGACACAAACATGAAATTTAAAAGGGAAACCATATCGGATTTGGTAGCCCACTTACAATTTTTATTGGTGTGATTTGAGAGGGATTGTATTCACACAAGCAGCGAGCAAATTTGAATTTTAACGCAAATTGGAATGTAAGTTGCTATGTTAGCAGGGGCAGCTCACACACCCATACGCATACATTGCAAATTGCATCGAAATAGGAAATTCATTTGTTAATATTACGAGCACTCGATGGCGGTCCACTCTTAAGGGACGTCTCCTCGAAGAACAGCTCCAGGAGACTGCTTTTGAGCAGCTGATCGCCCTCCAGCCGCTCGACCCCCTTCCAGTGCAAAAGACTGGGTATTGAGCTGAGGGAGAGCGGCGGTTTCCGGAAACCATTTTTGTCGGAGCAATCCATCCAGGCATCCCGATTGCCCACGTCTATCACTAGGACAATAGCCCGCCGAGCGTGATTCCGGAATGCCGTCATAATGGTTTCCTCAGCTACGAGTGGGGAAGAAAAATGACAAAGAGTAAGAAATGGAAATCGGTACATCTCTGCTTTCATACCGTCCACACAGTCCGGACACCAGCTTTTGCCCTTGCTGTCCTTCTCGCCGTAGAAATACAAATAGATGGGACCCTGCTTGTTCTCGTAAGCCTTAAGGAAGTTCTGCAGCTCCTGGTAGCCGCGCACCGGCACGTATTCCGTCATTGTATTCCTTGTGTTTTCTGGCGAGGGATTGGAACTTTTTCCGGATTTTGGGGCGACGCACCGGCTAATCTAATTGTGTCGCTGCGATAGCCGATAAGTTCATTTACAAGTGAGTTTTTTATGATTATTTGCCCTGCCCCTTCACCAGACGGTGGAGATAAAAAATTCGCAACGATAGCAACAACAGAGTGCTGATGAGTGCTGTTAAGCGCGCAACTCAGCTGTTTCTGAAAATATTAGAATATGACACTTTCTTTTTTGACTTTACTGACTGTTCTAAGAACACATGATCCAAGATTATTAATAGCTTTTACTTTTTAAACAGCAGGGATACTCCAATGGAGCATATTTATTTCGTCACAACCACATTTAAAAAAAATCACACGAAAAAGAATACATCATACCGGAATAACCATAACAGATTACAAAATAACCGTAGTCTTAAAGAGTTTTGTTAGTCGTTACAGTGCTGTTAACAGGTCGTCTGTGCTGTTAGACGCATGTCAAGGTATAATTTTATACCTTGAAAGTGCATCGTTTTGATTTAATTTATATTTAATAATTTAGAAAATTCATGTTATATTATTTCTTTCCTGAACTTTGTTCCCGACAGATCTACACTGTAAATACAAAATGTGCTCAAAATGCGCAATCAAACGCCATCTACATTAACAGACTGATACTGTCAGACGTGCAAGTGGGCTGTTAAACGCACTCCGCATAAACAAAAAAAGAGCCAACTTTTTTAAACAATTTGTACGGAAATATTAGACGCCTGCCACCAATTTATGCGATGCCAAAAGAAAGTCATGTACGACCCTCAAATAAAGAATAACTTCACACTGTTGCCCAATGCCCTTTTCGCTCCAACAGAACATCGTATGGAATCCGCCGCAAGTGAAGCACCTTCTGATGCTCTTCAAACGCCACCGGAATCTCTACGATCCGACGGACCCTGATTACAACAAAAAAGGCCGTCGGTCTTTTGCCCTGGCCAGGATTCTCCTGTCCCTACGTCAAGCGATGCCGCAGCTCACCGAAGAGGATGTAGTGAACAAATTTGGCAGCATACGGCGCAAGTACTCGGCCTTAGCCCTGCGTATCAACGAGCCGGGCGTGCAGCTGCCCTACTGGTATCAGTTCATGGAGTTCTACAGGCCACATCTGAAGAACTGGCGCCACAAAGAAAGCCCGCCCTTCACAGCGGTCAGCGTGGCCAAGCGGCCAAAGCCCGACACAGATGAGCATCTGGCGGCCCTGGACGCGATTCTTGGCCAAAGTGTAAAGAGCGAAAGGGCTGGTGCCCCAGCCGATCAGTCGGCTTCGGATGATAGTAGCGAGGATGACGACGAGGACGAGTCTGACGCCAGCAAAATAAATCCGCATCACAGCCGCTCGTCCGCCCAGGCTATTCTGGATACGGCCACAACTATGCTGGGACGTTTGGCCGACCGCGTTACCTACACCCCCGACGTGGAAGCCTTTGGCGAGATGGTGAAGGCCGAGATGCATTGCCTGCAGCCCCACAGCCGGCGCCGTCTGCGCAATAAGCTCATGGCGGTCATCATCGACGAGGGGGAAAATTCGAATTATATGTAGCACACCATTTTTAATGGTAGAATATTCGATAATATTTATAGATATGATTTAGGCGTCTGTTAACTTAAGAAATGAAAGCATTGCAACTGTTCGCTTGGCTTGGTTATTGTTGATGGAAAGTTTCTGCTGTCTCAGGCCTCGCCCTGACCCAAATGGCAGCGACCAAACTTGAACTTCATTGGAGCTCTCCCAGCAAGGTTGCCCTGGGTCGAGAGCCAACAAAGAAAACTGCAACTTCAGGTGAAAAATCGTTTATAAAAACCGAGTTCGGTCTGGGTAACACAAACAGTAGATTAACCAGATCAAGATGGGTAAGTCGCGACGGCCAGGGAGCACTCCACTGAACCTGCTCACAGCCCGATCCGTTCCCAGCCTGCCATAAGATGTCTTTCCGACCGATGCTGCTGGTGCCGGTGCTGCTGATTCTGCTGACTGTGCACTTGGAGGCCTCCAAGATCGCCTACAAGAAGCCGCTGTACGGCAAGGGGAACTACATTAAGGACAAGCGCATAAGGAGCAAGTCATTGGCACTCCCCACCACCACTACCGGAGCCCCAACCACCGAGGAAGATTGGCCAGCCGCCGTGGAGTTCATAATTGTGACCACACCGCAGCCAGAGCTCAACAGCACCACAGAGTCTAGCAGGAGTACCAGCATCAGTGGCACCACTGAAGCCTTCAGCACCAGCAGCCAAGCCTGTGGCAGCACCACACCAGCAACGCCTGCAACTCTAGCCACAGGGACGACGACAACCTCTAACAGTTTGGACAACACATTGCCATCGCCGCCGACACCAGCGCCAGCATCTGCATCGGCTTCTAACCTGGACAACCACCCAGTGCCGTGCACATGCGGCGTGTTCCTCTCCTCGCAAATGCACCATGGACTGCAGGAGGCGCCGCTCATCCATCAGGAGCTGGATCGCATGTACCCGTGCAATGCGATTGGACGGAAGCAGTGCCAAACCAAGTGCCTGGAAGCGGTAAGAGACAATCAGACAATCGAGACGGAACCAAGAAACCTAACCTGACCAATCTCGTCCAGATCGTCCAGCACCTGCCCAACTCGGCCAACATTGTTTGCTCTGCACTCGGCCACGACTGCCACAAGGAGCGGGCCTATTTGTTCATCAAGAATTGCCACAATCAGTGGGTTAACACCAATCTGCAGGCCGGCAGGGAGTACTGCTGCAAGGCCGGCGTGCCCTATCGCTGTCCTCTGTTGGGCTAACTGGTTTGTTTCCCCATCTGTGGGCTCCACAATAAATGCTTTGATATACCTACCTATACCTATAGCAGACATATTATGACCGACTCTCGGCTGAGCTGGGTTGGGCTTTGGGTAGTTGAACATACATTCCAAAATTCGAATCACCATTATCCAAGGAACACGTTCGACTCACAGAGTTAAACGCTGTTGTTCCAGTTACAGACGTTCGAGTTACATATGTAAAAAGAAATTTGCAATGAAAAAGACAAAAAGATTTAGAAAGAAATCAGTAAAGAGCGAAGATATGTATACAATGCGAAGCACAATCACAAAGATCAAAAAAACAACAAACGTACGATACGCTCTGAACATTATTTAGGATCTAAATTTTAGATCGAAGTTTAGACACAGCGGCGGCAATCAAACGCGCTGTGTACGTCTGTTGTAATATCTATGTATGGGGATAGCCTAGAAAGCATTTTCCATCGCCGCAGAGTCGCAGGGGTTCGTCAAAAGTTGAATTTGTTTTCTGTTGGGAAGACTCTTTTATTCCCGAAGAGTCTTTCAGAAGTGTCGCAGGAGATTCTTTCGGAGTTGGTCGTATATAGGGTAACCTACCCAGCAAACCAAACGCTCCCAAATGATATCGCATACGAGTCAAATGCGAGACTTAACCCGACAAAACGCTCGCATTCGGACCCGCATATGATAGAAATATGATACCCATAGCAGTATCAAAAAAGACTCATAAATGATATCGCAAGAGGCTCACAAATGATTCCTTTGCGAGCTATCATAAATGATATCGCAAAAGGCTCGCAAACGATGTCGCAAAAGGCTCGCAAGAAATAGTTTTTGCGAGAGTTTTTTTTGGACCCGTTCCCATTTTGTTCCGTAATAAAAAATATTTTTAATTTGTAATATGAAATGAATGTAATGTATATATGTAATATGTATGAACTATGTACTAAAATTAAAGTTTTTTTGCATCACTTTTTTCCAATCTGGCCTTCCGTTCCTGAGCATACTGGGGTTAACGGGGCTAAGTTCGATTTCTTATCGATATACGAGACACCAAAATTGAGGCAATAACAATAAAAGCCATCGCCGTAGCAGGAAAACAAGTCAAGTATTTAAAACAAGCCAGTCAAGCAGAAAATTGATTCATTAATCGGATAAAATTATGTGGGCAGGGCTGAAGGTTCTATCTAGTTAGTAATATTTGACGGAATATCAAACACGAGGAATATGTACGTACAATAGAACATTAAATTTTAAATCGGTATATCTTATCGATAAATCAGCTGCTGACTAGCAACTTATTAAGTTTACGTCGGGCAAATATCAAGGAATAGTTTTTACGAAAATACTAACAGGTGAGTGGCAGACGGGGTTTTCCCAATGAACAATTGAATATTAGTAACCAACCACCCGGCAGCTGTTTAAGGAAAATGGTGTGCGTGCCGTGCTTTATCATTCCGCTGCTGCTCTATATCTGGCACAAGTTCGTGCAGCCCATTCTGCTGCGCTACTGGAATCCGTGGGAGAAGAAGGACGCCCAGGGGAATGTGATCAAGGCGGGGCCGGAGTTCCCGTTCGAGTGCAAGGGCGGCGTCTGTCCATTTGTGCCCGGTGGCAAGAAGGCAAACGCTGACAACGATACGGTGGAGACCACATCATCTGAAACAGTCACGACTACAGCTTCGGACGGCCAGGAGACTAAAACTACAACCATCACAACCGGTGGTAGCAGCAGCACCACCACCACAACCACGTCGTCGTCCTCAGGGCCAACCACTGAGCCCATCCCGGAGGAAACAAAGAAGTTAATTTAGTCAAAATTTCATGTTTTTTTTTCTCGCTTGTACAATAAGTCTTGACACAACGCACACAGTCACTCCACGGGTCCCCCGCTGTGTGGGTGTGCTGGGGGACACGTTATCTAAAGAGCAGCAACCAATTACGCTTAAAAACGAAAATATGTTAACTTAAATGTAATACACATCGCAATCACCCAAATTGAGTTGTTTACTGCTGCATATGCTTCAATTATGGGTTTGTTTACTAGCTTCAAATAACTATATAAATTCATTATATTTTGTCTTTTTCAGGTGTCGTCTATGAAGTCGTTACCTCGCTGATCAATATCGAGGCTCAACCGAGGAACATCTTCCAATCAGACACCACGATAGTACTTACTCTAGGAAGGGCTCAACCACAAACTCAATCCACGGATGGGATTTGCCTCTCTTGACACTTGTGTAAGGCCTCTACCGTAGTAAATATTAAGTCAAACAGAGAGGGAATTGCGGTGCATTGATGATCTTTCTTGTGTGATTAGGGGGGGGGGATCAGGGTTCCTCAGCCAAAGCCAGGCGCAGGTGGAGTGTGTTAACACACAAAATTATACTCATAGATAATGGACGGATGAGAAAACTATGATGCCATACCGCGTCAGCATTGTGGAAAATATTTGTCCAGAGGGGCTAGCCGAAAGCCATGCCTGTGCTGCTTGGACGATGCCTGCTCACAGTGGATATGGAAGTGGGGTCTGGGGACTGCAGGCTGTAGGGTTTCCAATGCTTAGTTGCGTGCTAATGGCTTCTGCCATTTGTTGATTGTTTGTTGACTTTCAAAGCCTTCTTTTAAGCGGTCAATGCCCAGAAGATGAACCCACTTTTTGGAGTGTCTGATGGAGAGCCATGCAATGCCTTGGAATAAACCTCTAAATATACATATGTATGTACTATCGTTCCCAGTTGGGTTTATGCATCCCTTTATCTATGGCCGCTTCTAGCATTCCCTTCTGTCATACACAAATATCGACAAAAATTAATTGTTTTTAAAATAATTATTTAATATTTATTATTTATGTCAAAAAAAGTTGCATTTCTGTTTGTTGTTTTGCTGTTTAGATTAGGAAAACAAATAATTTTACAATTTACACATTAAAAACTTATGAAAAACAAAAAAAAAATAGAGATGGAAAGAAGAATGAATAAAACTCAAATAAAAAATTTGTAATAATTCGAACAAGAAAATCGGTTTTTTTTTGTTTAAGTTTTAGTATCTAATTTCCCCGTTGCATATTTTTTGAAAATATCTATCCATCAACTTAGATTTTAGGGGGGAGTGTGAAGGGGGGAGGGGCTTATATATATAGAAAACTTGGCTGGTTAAGGTCTTTTCTTTTCGTTTACATTTCTATTCGTTCTTGTCTTGTTTTTTTGTGTGTTTTTGTTTTGTTTTTTGTTGTTGCGTTTCGTTTGTTTGTTGTCTTTTATATGATTGTGATTTTGTGGAATTGTTTTCTCGCCTTAATTCAAACATTTATGAGAATCTTTTTACAGTTTAGCTTAGTTTAAAATGTAATAATACACAATAATCGTATCATAGTTTTATAATTATAATTATAATAATAAAAAAAACGTGGTGTAAAAAAAATGGGATATTTTGATGGGTAGTATATCTAACAATTTTGTTTATATAAGCACTTCAGTTTCGATACCAACAGAACTCCGATATATATCGGAGATATCAGATAATCGTAGAATTCGATAAAAGCTTAATGGCTAAACGTAGCCTAGACTTAGGCCTAATGATATATATATATATATATATGTATATATATCCGTATGTGTGTATGTGTCCTTAGATCTTATAGCTACATATATCTGATCGGAACGGTATAGAGTGCCAATCGTTCAGTATTTTTCGCTAGTATAAGGTTTTCTCTGTCTTTTGTTTTTGTTTCTGTTTTGTTAACTGGAAGCGACGACGATGACGTTACGACAAATCAAATGCGCCACAAAACGACGACCCCTTAAGTCCTTTTAGTCTTAGTCTACGTATGCATCTAGATGGTTAAAAGATATCTACATATATGGGTAGATATGTATGGATATATATATATATATATATATGCGATCTAGATCATCCAACGATTTCAACGCGCACTGTACAACAATCATTAAAATATAGAATTTAAATTATTACAAATTATTACTCTCTCTCTCTCTCTGTCTCTGTTTCTGTATCTATCTCTTGCTCGCTCTCTTTCTATTTTGATCGGCTTCTTTAAATTAAAACTTATTCCCTAAACAGACACTAAAAACCTAAAAATATATAGTTTTTTAGCTTTTCTTTTGTTTATATTTGTAGAACGTAGTCCCAGGGACTCTTTAAGAGTCGCATGCACCACCGTTCGGTCCGTCGTTCCAGCACTCAGCGGCCCTCGGGCGGCATTCAGGCATTCTGGCATTCTGGCAGTCTGTCCGTCCGTCGTCATATGTAGATGGCCTCGGATCCCTTGTTGGCCTGATGGCCACCCGAGATGTACAGATTGTTGGCCGCCGGCGATTGCACGCCCTCGGACCAGTCCGAATTCGAACGCGGCGATGATGAGGACCAGTGTCCGGGCGATTCCGGCGAGGGTGTGGGATAGCTGTCCAGTGTCTGGACGAGATGCTGCGGCGTGTGTCCGCCCGAATGCTGACTGGGCGGCGTTAGGTACTGATAGAAGGCCTGATTGTGCTGCGACGACGGCGATAGCATGTTGGTCGATGGCGATGATCCGGACATTGAACTTTGTATTGAAGGCGGATTCATTTGACCCGAGTGAAATGAGTCTGCGAAATATGGGAATAGAGAGATTATTAATACATTATTTCTGCATTTTGTGCATTTTCTGCATTTTCTGCATGCTTTGGGCAGGCGACAACTCTTACCCGGAGATCCACAAAATCCATTCAAGTCCAAACCTGCTGAACCGAACTCCAGGCCTCCAATCTGCTGCTGCTGTTGCTGATGTTGCTGCTGCTGTTGCTGCTGCTGCTGTTGTTGCTGCTGCTGCTGCTGTTGCTGCTGTTGCTGCTGCTGTTGCTGCTGCTGCTGCTGTTGCTGCTGCTGTGGGGATAGCGTCTGCATTATTGCACTGCCCTTGGATGATTGGGGCGGGGCAAGCATAATGCCCATATCGCTGCCGGTGGGCGAGATGATGCCCAAGCTAACTGGGGAGCTCTGTGGCCCCTGGCCGCCGCCCAGCAAGCTGTTTAGATTGCTGCCACCGAACTGCTTCTGCTGTGTGGCGTGCCGCATCGCCTGTATGTGCGTCGGGGATGTGGGCAAACTAGGACGTGATTTGGCTGGCGATGGAGAGCCTACAAACAAACAAAAAACAAAAAACGAGAGACAGATGCGATTAGTAAGTGCATTCTGGCATGGAATTGGATGGACTCACCCAGATAGGCGTGCGGCGACTGGGCCAGACTGCTCTGCACCGAGTGCGGCGGCGACTGATTCGAATAGGGGGGACTGAGACCCTGCTCATTGCTGCCGGCACCCGTCAGGCCACCGACGAGGCCGCACATGCCACCAGGCCCGTTGCGGCTGCCGCCGATGATCCCATTGCCGTTGCCGTTCATTCCGAGTCCCTGGCCATTGAGCAGCTCCTGCTGAAAGGGCGAGCCCATCGAGTAGCCATAGTTGTCCAGCTTGATCATGTCCAGGCCATTGCCGGGCGGCAGTGATTGCAGCGACTGGGCGTTCTGTGAAATGTGGACAAAAACCAATTAGATGCTGCCTCCTGGGCTCCTCCTGGCTCCTTCGACTGATGGACACTCACCTTGATGCAATCCTCATAGCTCGGCGGCTGTTTGGCTCCATTGGGGCCGCTGGGCTGTGGCGCGGCCATGGCGTTCGAGTACATCGAATTGGTGTCGTACGGGCTGGGCAGGTTCCCGTTCATTCCGAGGACACCCAGCGGCGAGGAGGCATCCAGCTCCAGCGAGGCCATCACTCCGGCCCCGGCAGCCGATGCCGACAGTAGGGATGTGGGTGGTGGTTGGGGTGGTGCCCCCGCACCCGCACCCGTTACCGCACCGGATCCCGCACCCGTCGTGGATCCACTCATCAGCTGTACGGGATTGAGGCCCGTCCCATTCCCATTCCCATTTCCACTCCCATTCCCATTCCCATTCATGGCCCCCTTTTTTGAGGCCGCATTTGTCTTTTTTGAGCTGGCCTTGCGCCTGAGACTGCCGGCAGCGTCCAGGCCGTTGTCGGGACTGCTGCCCTCGATCAGCTTGGCCTTCTTGGCGGCCTTCTGCTTGGCCGTTTGGCTGCTCTGCTTGCCGGCCCCGTGGGCGCCGTTGCCGGCGCCGCCCGCCGATATAACCGTCGGCTGGGTGATCAGCTGCGGCTGTTGGCCCGGCGGCGGGGAGCCGATCATCGCCTGCGGCGTCATGCTGAGCATCTGCGGTGAGCGGGGCACATGCTCGTCGAGCAGCCGGACAATGTCGTGGTGCAGCCGCTCGCTGGCCACGTCCCGGGGCAGTCTGTCCATGTGGTCGGTGATATCGCGATTGGCGAAGTTGTCCAGCAGGGCCTTGCAGGCCTCGTAGCTGCCCTCGCGGGCGGCCAGGAACAGTGGCGTCTCGTCCTTGTCGTCCTGGGCATCGCGGTTGGCATGGTGCATCAGCAGGATGTTCACCGCCTCCGTATTGTTGACGGCAGCGGCCCAATGGAGGGCCGTCTTGCCCGAATTGTCCGCCGCATTGATGTCCGCATCGGCGGTGATCAGGTCCTCGACCATGCCCTCGATGGCCAGCCGGGCGGCGAGTATCAGGGGCGTGGTGCCGTCATGCATGCGAGCATTCAGATTGGTGGCCCTATTCCGCAGCAGGATCTGGAACACGCCCATGGCATCGGCCGCCACAGCGGCATGCAGTGGCGTCCTGCCCGTATTGTCCTGGCAGTTGGCGTCCGCTCCGGCGTCGAGCAGCCGCTTGGCAGCGTCCGCCCGCGCATACCGGGCGGCCAGATGCAGCGACGTCTCCCCCGTCTTGTCCATGGTGGCGTCCAGCTGGGCGCCCTGGGCCAGCAGATCGGATATCACCTGGGCGGTGCTGTCGTCATTGTTCTCGATATCCTCGCCGCTGTCCAGGCCGCCGCCCCGCACCGCCACGATCATCAGGGGCGTGAGGCCGCAGGGACCGCGCGCGTCCACATCGTGCTTGCCGCCGTCCTGGTGGGCGGGCGGCGTCATGATGGCTCGCACATCGGCCACATCAAGATGGGCCTGCGACCAGACCCTCTGGTCGGCCTCCTCGTACTCGCTGACCATCGTATGGTCGCTGGCATAGCCCCCGTTGTTGCCCAGCCCCACCACGGAGACGGGATCGCTGCACTGGCGCTTCGGCAGCGGCATGTCGCTCTCATCGTCCGACCACTGGCCGCCCGGCTGGCCCACGCCCTGGCTCTGCATCGCCCCCCGTTTGTTCAGGTTGTGCATCTCCTGGCCGCGCGGATCGCGATGATG